AAACCGCATATTTACCAATTTATCCAGTGGTCTATATGGGCACGAGTGTATGACAAAATCCTCCAGGGTTTGTTCAACACCAAATGCTTTATTTTCAAATTCCATTTAATGCTCATTCCTTTTCATTACCGTTAGCGATTGAAATACGACCACAAAAGTGCTGAGATATCGGCACTATTCGAAGCATCAGTAAGAATCGAACCAGCGATTTTCTTCCAGGAATTGACGTGTCAACCACAACAGTAACAAGGCTCTTGTTCTTCCTTTCCCTCAGCTTTTTCTTTCCGTTGAACTGATAATTGCTGACAGTACAGATAGAGCTTAAAGATAAGAGGAAGACAAAATGAGGGCTTGTTGATTTAGTGAGTAACACGGCGCTCTCAATAGGTACTCGCATATCTGAAATCTACTTGCGATCTCAACTTATGCTCACATTTCAGCGTCCTCGCAGCTTGATTCCATATTCTCTATTCATAGATCGTCTTCGCCATTATGGATATCAGCACAGTTTCATGGCAACTATGATGTGGCGGTTCCAATATCTAAATGCTGGAGCGTGTGCCGATTTCTAAGCAATTATTGCATCAGAACGTCAGCATCATACCAAGAACGTCGTAAATTGTACCGTTTGCTCAAATTGATTGCTGTAAAACATGGAGGGCGATTGGCTCGAAATTACAACTTTTCACATCTACCACCTACAAAATCATCTTACCAACCACAGTGAAATCTAAGAGTAATATGAACTCCTATTCACTAGTTGCAGTCCTTATTCAAACTTAGGAAAGCGGCAAAAGACCAAAGGTCGTCCCGCAATACTGAGCCATGCATTCGACTCTATTCGTAGTATGACAGTAGTGACGAGACGAATATATCCCTTTACGGACGATGAGGGCCAATATGACCCACAGGTAGGCTGCCATTCGGACGGTTACGAAGACAGGTGCGTTCTTCAATAAAAATCCGGGTTGATTAACTTCTCAGAGGAACATTATCTTCAAAAAACGATAAAATATCACTGATGGAACTGGCTGTATGAATAATTTAGCAAGACTAACGCTAAAGCATCCAAAATCTTGCCTTAATAAAAAGAACCACCTACTTGGGAAAGAATGTATTTACAGCTGCTACTGAACATGTAATCTTATCGCTGATATTTTTGTATTAATTCATAGCTCAGAGATTTTGATCCTGAAGTAAGCTTGTTGTGTGAAAAGATTTCCATAGTACGATCTACTAATAATTAAAAACTAACTTTTTGCAATCGCGGTCCATTTTTTTCCAATCCATAGCGGATTTTTCTGGGATTGTATGATTAGATTTTGACTGCTGTGAACTTTTTTGCCAAAAAATCAAATTATCACTGGAAAAAACTTTGTGAACGTATTATTAAAGAGAGTAGATCAGAGCTTATTTGAATATCCTTGCTTTTGAAAATAAATGTCGCATGCAATCGCATTTTAAGGAGTTGCGCTCGTAATCCATTTTTTTTTCAAAAATTTATCCACTAGATTATTAGTGTTTATTCGATCGCTGAAATCAAGTGAATTGAACGATGTAATTTCTCTAAAGGTTTGTGTGCCGTGCTGTAGTAGTCAAAATAAAATTTGTTTTACATTTGAGGATTTCTCGCCGGTTAAAGTTCATTCTATAGACAACCAACAACCTATGATATGCCAGATCTCAACGATTTTGATGACGTACTTGAGTTTTGGAGGTTGCTTATAGCGTTGTAATAATGGAATAAGATTGGGTTACGCCCTACAAAGGTGAGATTTTGAGTTCCAAGTCACAGTGCTTTCTGCTGCATATCGAGTAAACACGAAACGTAATCTTCTTTTGACCGATGCAGTACCATAAGAAATGTTTGATTGTTAAATAAAATCTTATTTCGACTTAACAGCGCAAAAGACAGGCCAATTAAGAATTACAATGCGTCGTTCAGATTCACTTAATTTTAGCTATCGAATGATTGCCAAAGAGTTTTGCAAAGTAAAAAATACGTTTTTACCTGGCCTCAAAGTGAGTGAGAAGAACGGGAAAGAACCGCTTAAACCTCCACCTCTTCATCGCATCCCTCGGCTTTAAATGAAGAATTCGAATGAAATCGCTCGCTGATCTAAGAAAAAGGAATCTGAAGTGCACCATTAATCAAGAAAATATTTAGAATCATGGATGAAGTGGGATCGCATGCAATAAGCAGCACTATTTTTAGAAAATTGTTCTTTACTGTTGAATTTTCAGTCAGTATGGTAAATTGAAATCTTTTTATTTGGCCGCTTTTAAAGGTGGGATGATGCTATAATATACCCAGTGGTATAGAGTGATGTGGCAAACTTTCGCGTCAGGCGGGACTAGAATCCGCATCTCACTCTTTACGGGAGCGCGTGCTCTATCCGTTACACTACTAACGCCCATTTTGCACACCAATCTTTTTATGCTGTGGCGCATCTGTCTGTCGGCCGCCAGCCGTCAACGCCCTGGCCCGGGTAGTCGGTATCGACATTGAACCCAGTCACGCTGACAGATAATGGGTATTGAAGATAAATGGAATTCTTTTAGTTAACCTCTTCTGTTTAACCGATTGGTGTGCAAAAGGGGCGTGTAGTGTAAGGATAGAGCACACGCGGAAAGAGTAAGGTGCGGTTCTAGTCCGAGCTGACGCGAAAGTTTTGCACATCACTCTCATCAGTGAGTACAAAATACTGCTGGCAAAACTTGTTTGAAAAGAATAATAAAATGAAATTGAATATGGCAGAAAATACATCACTGAGTGTGATGAATTTTTGTACTTTATGAAATAGAGTATATGGAAAGTGAAGGAAATAAAAGATAAATTTGACTGAATTGTGAGTAGGTCTAGGCAAAACATTATTGAAATGTTCGATAAAAATTCTAGATACAACTTTTTAATGAATACCTGGTTTTTTCTTGTGAAGAGTGGATTATAATTAGAGCTATTACTTTAATTTCAATCAAAGTAATCTCATTGAAGTGTTATATATTGTATTTCACCATTTACTAATACGCGAATCCCATTTACTATAAGAACAGTATAAATTTTCATTAGAAAACTACCACACTAGTAGTAGAGCGCGCGCCGGCAGACCCTCTGCATGCCGTCCGAACCGCCCGCCAGACGAAAATTGCGCCGTCCGCAAAGCGCTATAGCTTGTGCAGTCTAAACAATTATTGCTTCAAATGCATATATAGCCTAAACGTGCGATGGTCAAGTGATAAGTTAGTCATTTCATCTTTCTAGACGAGTTTTCTGCTGATTCCACAACCCTGAAAAGAATAAGGGCATTATGATTTCCATGAGGTGCACGATTGAGACAGCAACCACGTTTGCGTTCTGAACACTTTCAAGGACTGCTCTCACTCAGACGTACAGTAACGAAGTGAGCGCGTATGAAAGTCGTTTTACTAAAAGTGTGGAACGATAATCATCGATATTTATTGCGACTACTGAACACCCAAAGAGATATCGATCAGTTCACCTAACAATGAAGATCATAAAATTTCATCATATATGACACTCACAAGAGCGAATGTTGCGCAGTGATTGAAGGTGCTCTGTGCTGCACACAAGGTCGGTGGTTCAATTTTGCGCTCACGGCTCATCAAGCCATTCCTCACTCCGAGGTTGGTTATACTGGTACCAGAGTGGTCTCTAACTCGTCTGGGAGGTCAAACAGCACTGACTCGTTACAGCTGGAGGCCTTCGCGAGTTATTTTAAAAGGCTGGATATGAATTCGATTACTTCGAGCAAAGTAAAAACTGACGACGAATGCATGGCGCATCCCTCAGGGGCTAATCAATGCCGAGAGCTTTGACGGTTGCCCCTTTATAGCTCTCATCAGTTGATAAAAGCATTGTTTGCCGTATTATTTAAATAAAACAAAAGCAGTTGTTTACACAAACAACATTGAAGTCTGTATTAATAATAATATGTGAAGATGCAAATACACTGAGGATTATGTGATTACACAGAGGGATGCTGAGAGATATGCAAATCCCCAAACCACAAGAGAGAGTTTAACCCGAAATTCATGCATAATTATTAGGCTGGTGCAAAGAAGTTACTGTTAATGCATTGTTCAAATTTGCCATCTGGTATGGATTTAATTCTTGAACAATTGTGACTACGTTGAAAGTCAGTTTAATGCGTATGATTCCTTATGTTTTGTTGCTAATGACGTCTTACTTGCGGCTTACTTTATATTCAGTTCAAAATATGGAAAGTAAGCTTGGATAGTTACGGTTTAACACCTTGAGCTGAAAATGGGTCGTAAGGAGCAGAGACAACTCGCAACATCAACAACGCATTTTATTCCCGAAGATGTTAACGAAGGTACACTGCAGTGGTGGTTTGAGAAGTTTTGTAAAGGAAATGAGAGCCTTGAAGATGAGGTGCGTAGTGGCCGACCATGGGAAGTTAACAATGACCATCAAAGCTGATCCCATTGATTCACGAAATGTGGCGGAAACGCTCAACGTTGACCGGTCTACGGTCTTTCGTCATTTGAAACAATTGAGAAACTGCTGAACTGAGGGACTGTGCTACTGAAGAGTTCCGGGCGACGAAACAGGTGCCTGTCTAGCACTTAGACCTGGCAAATGGCTCAAAACATGTTATATGGTTATCAGACTATCACTGTCTTTGAGCGAGGTCTATATACAGCGAAGGAATGGAGAGACAAATGAGAAAGGTAAAAGAGGTTGGTGCAAAGGTAACTACGCCTTGCCTACAGCCAACCGGCAGTCACATGCTGTATAGCAAACACTTCAAAAGTTGAACGAATTTGGCCATGAAGCTTCTCCTCATCCTCATACTAAACCTCGTACGACCACCGATCACCACTTTTCAAACGTCACAACAACTTTTCGCACAAAAGACGCTTCCACAACCAGCGGGATGCATAAAATGCTTTCCGGTTATCGAATTTCAAAACACTTTTTTGGCACTACATAATAGTTGAGTAGTGAGCAAAAACACAACCTCGGGCGGGAGTCGGACCCGCATTTATCCATTCCGGGGACGCGTGCTGCCACTACACCACCAAGGTACATTCGATTCGCGCCACCACTTATTCCGCCATATCTTTATGATAGCTGTCACCCACCAACTTTCAACAGGTTTGGTCGTGTAAAGCGATACTGCTTTCTAAACCCAGTTGAGCTGACAGCCACTGTGATGAATAACACTCAAAATTTCTAGTGTTTTTACTGCCTCTTTTCGCAGTGTTATTATGTAGCATATGCACCTGAGAGAATTGAGTGGTTAGCAATAATACGACCTCAGACGAGAGTCAAAGTCGCGTCTCATCCATACCGGGGATGCGTGCTCCACTACACCACTATCATATATATAATAAAAAATGAGTGGTGGCGCGAATGTACCTCGGTGGTGTAGTGGTAGCACACGAGCCCGGTATGGATGAATTGCTGGTTCGACTCCCGTCTGAGGTTGCATTTTTGCTTACCACTCAATTCTCTTAGGTACATATTAAACATCATAACTCTGCGAAAAGAGGCAATGAAACACCAGAAATCTGGATTGCTACAAAATAAGCAAGTTTATTTTTCGTTGGCAGATGTGTGTTGCTTCTAAGGGTTTCTATTTTAATCGGTAAAAATGTGTTCTGAGCTTAGATATGATCCAGAAATTTACGCTCCAAAACGCCATACTTTTGCGTCAACCTGATGTAATATTATAGAATTACTATAAAAGCAATAAAATAGAGAACATTTCTAGATTATGTACCCAATAGCTATAAGCTTAACTGGGTTCAATGTCAACTTATACTGACCAGACCAAACTCGTTAACGGTTGATTGCTGACAGTTTTGATACGTTATATTGCAGAGTAATAGCATTAGGAGCTCTTAGACGGAACCGATAGAAGAAAGAGATTTTGATAGACAAGACACTATTCCGCCTCATATTGCAAAGTTCGTACTTTTTGTCGCCGTTTCAAGGAGCGCAAGTGTATCAATGTTTTTCTCATAAATCTCAACTATGGTGGATTGAGGGACAAACGTGTTTAAGACTCTTTGTTTGGTCAATGATTGGCAGAAAATATTCAAAGTTACTGAGAAATTATCAAAATCACAACATCAAATATTATGTGCTCATTGTTATTATAGCAATGAACAACTTTTTATTTATTTGCCACGTTATCTGATCCGTATCGCGATTTTACTATAATAATTTGTTTCCACGTGTTATACATTGCTCCAGTGAGGATTCGTCTCATTCAAGAACATTGTAGAACATTGGCTGAGCACCTCCTCTCGCAATCTCGAGGGTAGCCAGGCCAGGGCATTTGGTTGAGTGTTCGTTAGTGACTGTCGGAGAGTGTTGCGAATGGGGAATTAATCCCGTTTCAAGCTTTTTTAACCACTCGGCCACAGGCTCCCAATGAGACACTGAGAAGTACATTTACATAGAATTCACTCACCATAAGTCAATAGTCTACGAATCGATGAAGAAATGCGTTCATGTTGCAACTGTTTTGATTCACTGAGAGCACGTGACCATCAATTAACCGTCAACGTACTATCTCGAAGCTGGTAATAATGGTGAATCAGTGTTACTGCCCGCGTAATTGAAGCAAATATGCCTACAGACTTACTAGGAGAACAATTCCCACTTAATTTTACCACATTGTCATGGGCCGCAATGAATGAGTTCTTGTTCATGGGGAATTTGACGATATGACCGAGTAGTTATAATATAGTATTCTCAAGAGCTGTTTAATCCGCCGTATGTGGGCTTTTTGGAAGGTATTGTAGTCTGTAAAGGTATTGTAGCGGGACATCAAGCGCTCTACAGGAAGACCACCGACCCGTTGGTCCGATTTCTTCACGAAAGCTATGGAAGAAAGATATGATGCTCAGCGAATCCCTAAGCGAGGAGGACCCACTGGGCCACTCTTGCACGCGATAGGGAAAATGGAAGAGTTGCTGGTACCCGCTCAAGTCACTCGACGATCAACGCGACAACAGGTGACAAAAGTGATACAGGTGATTGTAGCCTATCAACAGCTTATCAGACACAGATCTTAAGTTACGGCCAAGGTCACCTATTCAGTCTAAGTGATAATGTTCTTTCTAAGTGTTGAATGAAAACTTGAATTTGCGAATGCGTTAGTGCATTGGAAAGAGTGCTTGCAATAAACATATTGTCGCTGATTCGACACAACGTCCTGAGCAAACTAAACAAGGATACTATATGTACTCTCTTTTGATGGTGTCTATTCGATAACATGTTTTAAAAATATCAACATTTCACACATTTATAGGACTTAAGGTTGTTGATCAAACAAACAAGTTTTGTGCTTTGTGATACCAAAGTGGTTCCAAGGTCGGCGGTTATGCCATGACCAGTATCGCAGAAGAAGAATGTGGATTAACCACTTAACAAACTATCATGACTTTCGTTCACGTGCCACTGTATTGGACTTTTGCTAGATTACACAAGAGCCGCTTAGACCTCGTATGGTTCATATTCCCCACAACAGGGTGATGGCTCACACCTTCAACACTAAGACTGTCTTTACATCTATCTCATTACCTAGTTTTATTTCACTTTGGTAAAACTTTAGTTATTGATAATTGCCTTATTGACAAGGCTGCTACATTAACTTTCATTGTGGTTATTGACCAAGTGTCATCGCATCCTTTAGAGCATCAATGATTCGAGTCGAAAGTCCACAGCCACAAATCTGAATTTTCGTTGGCACACCGTATCGAATTCAATAGAGTGGAACACTATTTGGAAAATGTTTCCTTAATTGACGGAGTGTCTTATAAACAAAACGGCTCTAATTTATTCCCGTCCAGTAATATGCACTTTCAATGTTTTTGTTGAAATTTATTTCACAGAGGATTCCAGCACTTCCACTCGTTTCCTCGCAATCTCCGTTCACAAAAAATCTTTGAGCATTTCTTATTAGTGCGCTGGGCCAGCTCTTGATCGGCGATTTTCGTCGTCAATAAAAAATTGTTGCATTCTGATAAGGCCGATTTACGCTAAAATCGAGAAACAAGTGTGTTCACGGAGCTCCTGCTTCCTGTGGCTTCAGTGGTGAAATGAAGCCTCTGGAAAATTTCGAAATATAGAACTTCTATCGAGATCGGTTTTTTCGTGTATATTTTTTATACTTTCATTTGTAAAAATTATGTAGCGGAACTAAACTTGTATGAAATCTCCGCAGTCTTTACGACAATAAAAGAAAATTTTTCGGCATTCTCTGGTTTCACTTTTGCGTGATGAGTGCACATTGTCATCGCTAGTTTAGTTTTTATTTCTCGCCGTATAATTCTTCAAACAGTCACCTCTCTATTGATTTTTAACATTAGTGTTCGAATTGCGTTTTGCTAAAATCGTGTATTGTTTCAGCTCGTAATTTTTTCGAGGAAAATTTTTCTTTGCTCCAAACATCGTGTGTTTATTAGACACTTTCACTTCCATTTCCTTGAATACATTTCGATTTCTACTGGGTGAACTCCATGTATTAAAAAGTTCTTTAAAGGTACAAACATCTAGCTACTTTAGGATTTGAATTGTAAAGTGATGTGGAAACTGTCTTCGCGATTTCTGTCATTCACTTTAGTAGGCAACGTAATACGATAAGCCAGAACCAAATAGTTTGCGTTTTCATTGTAGCCTGAAGAGCGGTTGATCCAATATGGTGGATTCTGGTGGTAGTTCGCATTCCCGTACGGCGCTACCCAATTTGAGCAGGGGCTTGACTTTTGAATTATTATACTCTATCCGGCGTGATTTTCCGTTTGAATGAATTGCAATATCTGTAATATTTCATTGTTCAAATCTTGCAAAATAAAAACTGATTGATACGCTAGGGAGAAAAAGGAGAATGTAATTTGAAGAACACATCTAGTCTATCAATCTCCAACATAATCATGTCATGTATTCTACCAATTCCGGTTAGTGCAATATTGTCCTACGATGTTGAATAGTACAGTCGTAGTGATATCGAGCATAAAAAGCATGATTCCTGTTCAAACCCGTCCCGTGTCCACCAAGCCTCTCATACCTTCTGGTGTGTTAATTGGTACCACACTTGTCTTAGAACGGTTCATTCTTTGCGAACTGCCATAATCTGGCTATTCTAAGACATGGAAGGACTGTCTCGGATGCATTGAGAGATGTTTGTGAAAAAGACGACATCTTCAATAAAGAGCCGAAACCACTCACGATTTGTTTCAGGCCTTGATGAATGATGGATGAAAGAAAGCGATCTGAATACATTAGAAGTGTGGAAATTGCCACACCAGATGTGAAAAATGGCTGTTCACAACCGAAAAATAGAAATATGCTACGATTTCGTTATCCTCATTCATTTTTCAAGCTTTGAAGAGAAGGCCTCTTTCGTTTTTTCTCACACTTCAGCAATCATTCATTAGCTTAAATCTCGACAATTTCATTGGCGCATTATTGCACACTCAGTGCCTAGTTTTTGCAGGGCTAGGATGTGGTGTGTCTGTGTGAATTGGATTTATTTGCATTAAATGACACCAAGAACGCTAGTTCTTCTAACACACTTCTATGGGCATTACCTTCCAATCAACTGTTTTCAAATCTCGTTATATACGCGATATCTTCAACCTCAGCAGAGCCACACTCCCCACTAGTCAACTCTATTTTATAGCGGGTACGGAGACGTCTCCAGAATCTCGTGCTGCCATCCAAACACGTCTCCCAATCCTGCTAAAAGTAAGGTTCAGTGTGGGTCATGTGGCTCTGATGAAGTGGGCGATACTGCAGAAACGCACGGCACTGGCGTAACACCCTCAAACAAGCTTCAAAAACCCTTGCAAATTACATTTGAAACTATTGAATATTTATAGCAAGCTTTCGAAAGAGTCGCTTGGAAAGATGTTCACTTAATCACTACCAGTCGAAAGCCATTGAGTGAAAAAAATAGTAATAACTCAATCACGTGTTAATACCAAAACACGTCTCCTCATCTCTGCTATAAAGACTTATAGTAGTTATTTGATAACTGGGTTTGGATGACAGTTAAGTCTGATCTTTAAATAGGTCTTCATAGTACGCTGGAAAAGCGAAAAGATGATCATGTTTGTACCTCTAGACTCAACTGTTTAGACTTCAGATTAGTAGCCGGTTTGAGTAATGTAGAATGAAATAGAAGTTTAAGTCCATAGAGCGTTAGAACAATTGTGGGAATTCGTGTTATATCTGCAAAGCAAAGAGAACATTTTCGAATAGATGATGAAAGCGCGCGACAATGAGCGCTGAGAGTGAAACTCATTTTCATTTTGCTGCTACAATACACTGAATAGGCGTTTGGGATAGATTTACAGCGTTGGAATTGCCGTAATACAAGCTACGAAATATTTAACAAAAATCCAAGTAAAAAGCAGAAAATACCTAGTGCTTAGAGAACAAATTATGATTGGTGATAACGAAAAGTACAGAAG